TTAGTTTGCTGGGTGACACTCTGTAGACTCCACATGCAGCCAAAAGGGTTTATGTCTCTAACAAAGCGTGTCCCCCTCCACACTGGAGCTGATGGAGGAGCCAGGACCCCCCAGCAGCCTGGGGTGATGCTCTGGCTGCAGGCAGGGTGCTGGTTTGCACCTTTTCCCAGCCCATGGGTGTCTCTGCTGCCCCAGAGCTGGGGGGGCTTTGCTGAGTGACTTGTGCACCGCGTGGGCCCGGGGGTGTAACCAGGCTCCTTGCTGAGGGGTTACCAGATGTTTCTGGTTTATAGATGGGAAGTTACACACCAGTTGTAAGGTGGGGAGGTGACAGGTCGGTGCAGCCCTTTTGCTGGTGCTGTTTTAGAGGCTGCCAGTTTTGAATACAAATTCTTTGGATACAAATTCTTCCTCTAACTGGCAAAGCTGTCACATCTCTCCTTTCAGGTGGCTGCCTGGGGGCCTGAACCCCAAGCTGTTCCGTGAGGTGGATCACACCCTCACCTCCTGCGCGTTGTGGGGTTTTTTATGTGGTGATGGCAGCTTGATCTGAGCGCGGTTAGAAGTCACCCGCTCACTGAACGCACCCGCAGACACGTCATCTCTCCTCCTGTCTGGCATAACCTTAAAGAGGAGTCCTGGCTGTAGGAGGGTTGTGGAGAGCCTCACTCTGCACATCTGCTGGGAATTGTGATGGATACAGGTTCGGTGCCTGGCCAAAGGAGATGGTATTAGTCCCTCCTGTCCTACATGAATGTCGTAGCCATTAGGCTACCGGATTTCTCTCCTGTTTTTAAGGCAGCCACAAACCAGCCTCGGCTGTCTGTGTAACTGGCAAACAGAACTCCTGAACTCCCATGGGATGGCAAATCCTTGTCCATTCACTGCTGCCCTCTGTCCACTGAGGTACCTTGAATCATTTTCAGTTAAACTTTAGGAGCTCCAGTGCCTCTAGTTTTAAACAGCAGATAGAGTGGGAAACCTGCATTACAAGATTATGGACCACATAGTAAGCATCTAAGGTGAAACAGGCAATATCCTTAGATGCATTTTCCATAGCCTTCAAACCAAAACAGGAATAATCCCATTATACATAAAGTGTTAACTCTTGCCTTTGTAGAAACATCCTTTTGAAATACTGGGCTATTTGTTAATGTTTTTTCTCTTACTCATTCTGTACAAACAAAAGTAATTCTAACCAAGTTAGCTGCATAAGAAGGGACAACGTTTTAGAGTCTGGGAGGTCCCTGAGGACTCATCTCAGTGCCCTCAGCTGTGCCTCTCATTCCTGCTCCTTGGACAGGGCAGGCAGGTCAGAAGGGAGATGTGACAAAGCAACTGGTGCTGCAGAGAGGGAGAGAGGCAAAGCTCCGGCCTCCGCAGGGAAGCATTAGCAGGCAAATGTTGACACTTGCAAATTCTTACCTTTGTCTGTCTGAAAAATATCTAGAAAAATTTCTATGTAGTATTTACACTTTATTTTGGAAACATCACTGATATACGAACAAGTAATTTCTGTACCAAAGATGACTGAGGTGTTGCATGAAGTAGTTTCAGCTGAGCAGAAAGTTTCTGCCAAGCAGGAGGGAGTTATTTAAGATCAGCTTTGTAAAAGGAAACAGATTTGCTGTAAACTCAACGTTGTTCTAAACAAATACAGACAAGATGAAAAGGAGTATGTTTTGCGGGATGCAGAGGCTATTAAGTGCTGAGAAGTTCATCTTAGAAACAGGATTTTCAAGTCAGATAATGAGTAGCTAAGATAAGAACTCAAATTACACTCAGACGTACATAGTAGCACAGACAGAATGCATACATTGTAGGAGCAAAACAGTAACAACAAGGAGCATGAACTTTCTCAGGCCTCTAAAAGCTGTCAGAAGTAACCAGCAGCTGATGGGGTAAAGTTCCACGTGAACAAAACCATCATCTTCACTGCCTTTAGGAAATTTAAACTATTTGGATCAATAAGATACAGATTATAGTTTAATGAGAGAGAAGCTGTCAAACTCCTACAATAATAACCCTTCATGAGGACGCTGTAAATCTGCCATTATATATTATAGCTGTAAAGATCAAACAGTTCATCGTGAACAGCATGAGGAGTTTTATTTTAGCGGATGTTTATTATTTTGTTCTTTAGTTTTGACTTGCTGAACCAGCGTCGGTAAGTTGTGCAATTTAAATATGAGATTCCTTTTAAAAAGTCAGTGAAAGAGTGATCTGAATGGTGCTCCCCATCACCCCCACCTTCATTTTTAATGCATAGTTCCACAGTGACATAAACTTCCCCTGTCTAAACACACAGCCCAGGAGGTCAGATCTGTTCACAAAGGTGGGGAGTGGGAGTGATGTTAGAGCACCGTGTCGGTTATATGTCAGAAACTAACTTTGTCAAATTCAGACTGCGTGTTGAAATCCACATTTGCAAATATTAAAATGAATTCCTGTATTGACAGAAAGTCACTAAGCAGCACGTACTGCATATACAGGTATATACTGGGGGCAACAGGCCTAGGAGAGAGCAATGAGCACCTCTTGTGCATCCGACGGAGAGTAACACCCTGTAAAAAACAACTGCAACCTGCCACCTCTTCTCCCACACACACAATCCCAAACACCTGGCGGCTCGTGGAAGACAGGGGTGTGGAATTAGTAGCGATCTAGTGCAGCAGGCATCGGCGTTAAGGATTTGATACTTTCTTGCTGAGCAAGCAGATCCTCTGACAACCTTGAGGAGATAACCAGCCACCCCAGCGTCTGCCAACCGACCTCCTACTCGTGTAGGCTCCCCGTGTGTATGAGTGTCTCTGTGCAAACGCTCTCTGTAGGTGGCTGTCCAAAAAACTTTTGCTTGTTCTTGGTTGTGCAAGAAACAGGTAAAGTGGGATGGAAATGCTACTGGTGCTTAGGAAGAAGTCACTGGGAAATGAACTTGGTTCGGGTGTCCTCAGAAAAGGGTGTGTGGGCAGGAATTGCAGGCAATATTGCATTTTCTATTCCTTTTGAAATACTTTCAGCTTCAGCCCTGCAATAGTAAATATAGATTGGCCACACATCCCCAGGTTTAAAAAACAAAGCTGTGGCCGCTCCGTGCAGACTGCTGAGCCAGTACAAACTCTGCTGATTGAAAAATATCTTGAAAAGTATTGCAGCAGACTGTCACAGTTGTCTCTGCTCCACAGCAGATAGCATCTGGTCTCAGGCAGCTGGGATAAACACTGTATCAAGAGCATGACTAGTTTGACAGACATCAAATTACACCAGTGCCTGACCTTATCAAATTTACCTTGTCAGATGAGCATGCACAGGCCTGACGTGAGCACATCTGGAGCCGTAGCCTTATTCTATCAATTCCACACCTCGGGCTGCTGGTCAGAGCGTAGCTTCCAGCAGGGAATCTGCCCAAGCAGGTTCGTGTTTTGAAACTGAAATTGCAAGGTAGAGTTTGAATGCAATATTTGAAATCCTATTCCGTAGATGAGAACCTTGGCGACATGCGGGGAAAAGGTTGTAATGAGTGAAATTAATCAAGAAGGTAGGGGAGTTTTTCAGCTGCCACTTGCTTAGACCTTTGGTTTTGGGTGCTTTCCTGGCTGTCCCCGATTCACACAGCTGAGCTGGGATCGTTGCTCTGGGGGATGGCAGGAAGAGCTGAGGTGACACGAAGGAGCCATCCCTGCCAGGACAGCAAACAGGGCAGCTCAACAGACACTGTCCTCCGCCGACTGTTGCAAAACAGGGATCAGGCACTTCAGGCAACTACCTGAACAAACACCAAGTGGGTTTGGGCTGGAGAGGCAGGGAAAGGGCGGCAATAAACAAAAACATGCCCAGGGTAGGAGTTCCTCCTTCTCCAGCCCGATGTCAGATTCCTTAATGTCCACAAATATGTTGGATGTCTGTGTATAGTATCCTGCTATAATTTAGTGTAAACATAACTATGGTGGCCTGCTTATCCACTGAGCAGGTACACAATGTAGTACGTGCACGTCCCTCCAGCACATACAATGCAAACTACTGCATTTACTCATCTACATTATAGACTGACAGTTTAGAAACAAGATTATTGTCTTCATAAATAGTCTTAATAATTGAATAATCTAACATAAAGTTGTCAATATAAAATATATTGACTAAGATAATAATAAAACTATGTTTCCCTCTTCTGTTCCTAAACATCAGTAAGTGCAATATACATGCTGAGCATGAAAGCTGCTAGGAGTAAACATAAGATATTTACTACTTTAGCCATTGTATTATGTTAATAAACAACTGGATTCTAATCTGAAAGTATTAAATAAATCTTTTACAAATTTAGAGATGACTTGGGTACTGTCAAAAGAGTTGTAAGTTCAAGTGCAGGGTGCCCTCATTTTCCTGAATAAACTGTTTTCATATCCTATCTTATTTTCCCCTAATTATAAATTGGGAAAGTAACTGAATCTCATGTTGAGATGACAGATAACATAATTAGTTTTATCACCGTCTATGACCAAATCTCATTTCGCAAGTCACTTGATTGCCACTTACTAATAACATCCTCGTCTCTTGAAGGAGAGGACATTCTATAATAGAAGCCTCTCTATGCTGGAAAGATCCAAGAAAACTCACTTCAGGGTGGGTGGGAGCCAAGTTGTATTCCTGTTACCCTGTACGGGCCCTGCTACTACTCTGTTCTTCTCCTGGGATGATACAGGACACCGAGTCTCCTTGCCAAGTTAATTGTATCGGTACTCCATCCCCGGCCAGCTCCAGTCCGTGTCCACTGCAGCAGGGCGGCAGCACAGGTATCTGGTGTTTGACAGGCTGGAGCTTAAAAACTCTGAAACAAAGCCAATGACAGGGTGTCCAGCACGTTAGTTACAAAGTCCGCAGTCTCAGGAGTTTGTGTTTCAGACACTGCCCAACAGGTAGAGTATAAAAGGAGGTAAAAGAGGGGGAATAAGGGGTTCAGGGAAAAAGGAGACACTGTATTTTAGGTAGGGGTTTTATTGGTTTTCAGCTAAAATGTCCCTACCACACTGAATATGTAGTTTCACCTTCTGTATATGATGTGCATGCTTTACCAGTCTTCTAAAAATAAAACAAAAATTATCTTTTTTCATAAAGTCCAAGAATATGAGCGGTTTATTATAAATTCTCATGGAAGTTAATCCCCACATTTTTAATAAATCAACTGCATTATTTGCATAATGATGCTGAACCAGTCAAGTAGTTCACTGTATTAAATGAAGACACTAAATAAATAATAAAATCATTCTATAAATACATATATACCAAGCTTAGACAAACAGCTTATAGTTGTATGGTATTGTGCAAAACCTTCTGTGGTGCACACACCTCTTCTGTCAGCAAAGCCACGGCAGACAAGAACAAATGTACGCCATCTAATTTCTCCTGATGAAAACTCTCCATATCCAAGCAGCTCTCCCTAGAATAACTAAATATGCAGCACAGTTGTTTCTGTATCAAACCCAGCTTCGTAACTCCAGCCATTTAAAATTGAAAGCTCTTTAAGAAGCAGTCAGTCAAACGATAAAAGCAAGGACTGATTGCAATTGTTTTGGCAAAATAATTTGCTGTCAGAGAGTCCCGGAATACAGAAGAACATTAAGAGATACTGCAGAATAAAACTGTGTTGGCACACACCCTGAACCTGTTTCTAAACAAAACCAGAGTGTTAAGAAAAACACTTCTTTGATCCAGAAGTCAGTGTCAGGCTGTCAATGTTACTTGACGATAGAAACAGTATTTTCATGTTGGTTTCCAAATAAGTGCAAGAAGAATTGAAAGGCCATGGTAATGTGGACAGGGACAAAGATGTAAGCCATGTATAATACCATAACTAACATCGTAATGTTGAAAGTGTAGAAGAGCAGTTTTTCCCAGGGCTCCATGAGGTAGCTGCAGGTGATGAGTTCAAACTGGCAGTACAACCAATACAGATAGTTCTTCATGCTCTTAATATCCATCTTCGACTTTGTGCCACGTCTGAAAGCCTGCCCTATTGCAGTAAAGGATAGTTAGTAGAAATAGAAACCTTACCAAAACAAAAACGGAAAAAAAAAAACCCACCATTGTATGGGCAACAACTCCATGCTACTCAGTTTACTCATATTGATCATTTTTAGTAAATGATGTTTTAAAAACACAAGAGATCTAAAATTCCAAGATGGCAAATACATTTAAAAGCATAAAACACAATCAGATAGTAACAGACTAGCATGAGTCTTTCCTTTACCCCGGTCCCATAAAAGCCTTTATTTGTGTTCTTTGTTCAGAATATAACAGTCCAATTTAGACCACTGTGTACTGGGCCCCGTTATTTACCAAGGAGGCTCCACCATATCTCTTTTTTCCAGAAACTGGTTGCCCAATAATAATTGTTGCAATCCCGTTCTCCAGGCCAAACTCCACTTTCATAACTTTGCCTTGCACTGTGTTATTTAAGACTCTGTTGAAGCAGCTTAATTCGAAAAGCACTTCAAACCCTCTGTCCTTCACCACTCGTGGATTTTGACATAGAACTTGGCTACAAGTCTGATTTCTACTACTGCAGACTGAATTTTATGTCTTATGCTTCAGCTGCTGCTGGAATGTAAACTGGGAGTATGCAGAACACCACACATACAGAACTACAATAAAAGGAAACTATATACAATTATCCAGCTTCTTTTGCAACAGAGATTGAATTGATCTGTTGCCAGAATGAAAACATATAAATTTATTTTAAAGCTTTGTGTTGAAATTCACGCTACTAATTACTGAGTGATACATTATTTAGTTACCAGAATACAGAACTGGAGAGGGAAAGGGAAAACAGGACTATTTCAGTTACTGGTGCTTGCTGTCATTTGGCAAATAAGGAAACAAAACAAAAACTGTGATTCATCTTTTTAACTGGAAAGTTAAGAACTTGTGGTGACGTTAAAATCTGTGGAAAAATCTCATTCCACAGAAATTAAATGCAACTTCACAGATCTATATAGAGTGGGATTTTATCCTAACAAAAGCCATTTCCTAAAGTTTTTAGAAAAATTTTGCCTTGCCTTTTTCATTTTACTTCCATGGCTTCCCCACGTCTATTCTACCCAACAGGTGAGATAAACTAGGTAATCTTCAGCAGTTTTAGCAATATCCTTACTATATCTGTCACATTTCTGTACATTTCTTGCAGTTTTTACTAAATCTAAGTTATACTAAAGCCTCATATCATCAAATACATTGCCAAGCTACTTTGAGAACAGAGTTTTCTTACAAAAAATGAATTTTGAAGAACGTAGAACTTACCTCTTCACGTCTCCCTGATGTCTAGATGAGAGATGCTTCCTGACACTTCTGCCTTTCACAGCTGAACAGCCCGTGTACAGATAGAGAAGAAGAAACAATTAGCTTTGATCCTCAATTACAGAGTGTGTCCTCCATACCCCGCCCTTCTTCACTATTGCTAAAAACTCCTCTGGCCAAAGCTCTCGGCATTATGCAACAAGGACAGTCATCGTCTGGCTCGGTACCGTGCTCTCACGACAACATTCATTTGATAATTTGTACAAAGTCAAAGCTGAAGAACTGCAGGTAGGGAGGAAGATACAAGGCTGAAATACTATTTAGGGCAATCAGCAAAACATGTTTACAATTAGCGTGTTCCCTAATTTTGTATCTCAAAAATCCTCTCTGCTTCTGTGGGACTTCACAATGCAGGCTGCCAAAGTTCCTACAAGCTGCCCATTTAACATCCATGCAAAAATAATGGTGTCAGAGTAAAGTAGCCACAAAAATGTAGCTCAATTAATATGTCACAGGAAAGTCTCTGGTGAAGCCACCACCTCCTGTAACCTTTGATTAATGCCCACTTTCAAACAGCTCCCAGTCTCCTCTGCCTCGGTATCTCCCAGCCCCGTATACACACCCCAGTCATCCTCATCCAGAAACCCCAGGGTGGAAAGAATACGTGGACAAGATTTCTGCAAGGAAAAGATGGTGAGTTTTTCTTAAGAATGCTCCAAAATAAAACCAAACCACAAGCACTTGAGGCATCTTAATGCTCTAATTGGGCAAGTAAATTAGGGAGAAATCTGCATAATATAGTATCTGCCTGCAGTCAAATCATTTCCAAATATGAATCAGCGTCATTTTGGGAGAACATGCCACAAGCAATGTCTAAGGCATCTGAGCCTCACCTTTTCTCTTCCCTTCCTTACCAAACACAGCCTGAGCTGATCTATTAGTAAGTGCTGACCTACTCCCTTAACCTTTTTTTCCCCTTATGTTTTTCAACAAAATAAAGTTTTCTATTTAAAAACTGACCACTTTCCATAGAAAATTCAGAAATGGTAAGCCACCACTCCTGGCAGCAGTGGTCAACAGGCAACCTGCCTTCCTCCTGCAGAGCCAGGGCTCTGCCACAGGACTTCACCTCCTGAGCTGGACTAACTGCTACCTCATGGAAGATACAGCTTAATGTTGGGGCCTAGAGAATGGCCTCATCCAACATGAAATATTGTTTCCCTGAAGCACTGCTGCAAGATTTCTATTGTCAACCAGACTTTCTCAGTGATGTATTTCAATGGAGTTTGGGGGGGGTTGTAGTAGTAGATTTTTTGTCTTTTTTTTTTTTTTCCCTCCATGAAAATGGTGGAAAAAACAACACACACATAGGAGAAGCATTTGACTGCCACAGTGCCCATGTTCGTGGCAGGCCAGCATCCCTACTTCATGTTACCCACCTGCCCTGCGAGGCGGAGCAGCCTCTTCCAAATCCTCTAGCAAGGTGCAGTGGCAGAGCAACAATTACCAGGGTAGCCGAGGGCAGGGCTGTCACCTCAGTGCTCTCTGAATCATCTCCAAAAAACATTTGCATAAAAGCCAGGAAAACTCGGGTAGGTGCTTCTGCCGTTCTCCAGTGCAAAACTGTACCAATGTTTTCATTCTTTTCAGTAATTCTCCACTACTTTCAATAACAAATTCCCCGAGTTGCAACAACACAGAAAGTGAGACTCGTCTGGGTTTGCTTTAGTTCTAACAGCATCAAAAAAGTTTTTAGTTGAGAGACGCTGTGAAAGAGATGATAGGTGGTGGTGCAGAAGATCAAGCGGTCTCACAGCAGTGAAACGTTGGGGTAAGCAGAATGGATTCCCAACGTGATGCTGTAAGCAGATGTCGCAGGTGATATGTGAAGGCCCCGGGCATCCTCTCCTCCTCCCTTTCAGAGCAGCTCTCCAGCTGCTTTTCACGGCTTTTACCCCAGGGGGAAATAAGAACTCATGAATGCCTTTCACAATTCCTAATCAGGTGTGTATAGCTTCACTCAGAATACAATATTTGCCTGAAATGCCTACCTTTGAAGGCAGTTTTAGCCTATGTGTTTTTTTTCCCCATACAGAGAAGAAACAGAAACAGTCTTCAAGATTAGAAACAAACAAACAAACAAAAAATCATCAACAAAACCCAGACAGAAAACATACTGCTACATGTCCAAAGACACTGTGACGGATGACTTCAGATGCATGGAGAAAGCATTTTTTTGCAAAGATCTTACTCTGAAGAGTAGGAAAGAGACTCTCCCTCTTGAGAGTGAGACCATTAAGATGTCCCTGAGGGGCTGGTCCCTTGTTTTCAGGTCCCTCAATCATGCTGCCCACACACTTAAACTTCAAACCCTCTTTTTACTGCTCCTCACTGTGGTTTCCAGCCCAACAAATTCAAACACGGCCATATAAAAGCCATACAGTGACACAGCAATAATTCTTCATGGCAAGGGAAACATGAATTCAAAAAGCAAACTAGAAGCATTCCAACTACTATTGCACTAAAGGAAATCCCCAGGTTCCCTTTTTTTTTTTTAATTTAGTGAGGTTCCCCAAATGGAAAAGCAGTGACTTCTGGTTTATAGAGAATTTAGCAGATTAGCTCCATAAGCATTTTTTTTCCCCCTATTATTTCATGCCTTAAAATGGGATCCTCTGATGTCTAATAAGGTGTAAATCCATACGGAGGCATTTGCTCTGCACTTGACTTCAGAATGGCTGTCTTCTGTGTGACTTCTCTGCTGTCTAGTAAGGACTATGTAATAATACTGCTTTTCTCTTGAACTCTTTTGACAAAATTGATCTCTTTTATTTCAGTAGTTCTTTTCCTGATTTAACTGAAATTGGCCATAGGTTAAAAAGTATGGGATGTGGGAGTATAGAGATAGAGGTAATGGAAGAAAATAAGCCTCATTTCTGTAGAAGACCAAGCTAAAAATGCCAGAAATATCTCTGCCTTACACCTATATACTGTAGCACCTCATTTATCTGTCTACTTAAAATTTAGAGGCTGGAAAAATAATGGAAGCAAAAAGTCAAGGTGATCAGGACAGGTTTCTCATCTACCCCATCCGTCTGTCCACACAAAGCAAGGCACAGACAAGTTTATTTTGTCATAATAATGTATTTCTGTTTGTTTGACCCCTTTTGGCTCCAGCACCACTTGGGAAACAAGGAAAGAAGCAACATCACCACTGAATTATCGACACGCTGGGGAGGCAGCCTTCTGCAGCTCTCCGTGACAGCCAGCGTCTGCGTGTGCATGAGTAGGAGCTCTTCTGGCTGCAGCTTCAAGCCCATAACGTGGTTCTGCTCAGCCTGGCAACCTCTTCCTGCCCTCCCCTTGTGCTGGCAAGGAGGGCACATGCGGGAACTAGCCAGGCCTGGCAGGACAAAGACACACCAGCCTCCTCAGTTTGTGCAAAACCTGACCACACAGCCGCAGGTGCTGGAGGAAGGGACGGGATGGAAACGCATGACAAGGGCAGGTTGGAGGCTGGGCAGGCCAAGGGAAAAATTAGCTTAATCTGCTACACAAATAGTGGTGCTGACCTCCCGCTCTGAACATCTGCAGCCTCTGAGAGTTATCCTCTGTCCTCAAGAGACCTGAGCACCAGCTCCACGGCACACAGAAATAAGGAATGGCTCATATAGCATATTGTTAGCTTGACTTGCCAATACAATCAAGCTACACCAAAAGAACTACAGAATATATGCTATTGTTCTTGGAAATGAGAAAAATTGCCCTATAGTGTTCTTAGAAAGGCTCAGTTCTAAATGCCCTAAAATACCTGGCATGCAGCTCCACAAATGCCAGCACCAGATGACAGGTTTCTCTGAAGCGGTATCACACCTGTAATCAGGCTCTATGACACCACGTAACAACTAGATGAGGAATGTATCTTGATGAGGAATGTATCTTGGCTCCAGGTTATAGGGGCTTGACTTAGCGCCGTTTGTAATGCAAATAACGTATTTTAATTATTACATTGTTGTCTGCAAGAGTCATACGATTTCCAAGCATGTTTCCCCATGTCTGGCTAGACCAGTTCAGGAACTTCTGTAATTCTACATCAAGACAGATAATTAACTAAGTGAAAACTATGGAGGGCAGTGATCTCCACAAGTACAAGGAATATGCTTAGCTGGCCCAGAAGGATTAGGCACAGACTATTTCAACCCAGTAAGATGATATCATACCTTTTAATATTTCTCAAACCGAGCATTTCATAGGGGTTGGACAGTGAGTGAAGCATGTCACTGAATCCTAGAATGGTTTGGGTTGGAAGGGACCTTAAAGACTATCTAGTTTCAAACCCCTGCCCCGGGCAGGGCCACCTCCCACTAGCCCAGGTTGCCCAAAGCCCCGTCCAACCTGGCCTTGAACCCTTCCAGGGAGGGGGCAGCCACAGCTTCTCTGGGCAGCCTGTGCCAGGGCCTCACCCCCCTCACAGGGAAGAATTTCTGCCTTAGATCTCATCTAAATCTCCCATCTGTCAGTTTAAAACCGTCACCCCTTGTCCCATCCCTCCCCCCTGATGACGAGTCCCTCCCTCCTTTCCTGCAGCCCCTTTCAGCCCTGGGGGGCCGCTCTAAGGTCTCCCCGGAGCCTTCTCTTCCCCAGCTGAACCCCCCAACTCTCCCAGCCTGTCCTCACAGGGGGTGCTCCAGCCCCTGATCATCTTCATGGCCTCCCCTGGCCCCGCTCAGCTGTGACGAACCTAGACCTTCCCAGCTGCAATTGCTTCTTATCTTACTGCACAGCTCACTCACCTAATTTTTTATTTAGTTACCACTAATGCACAGGAAACTCCAGCAAAGCCAGTTTTTTCTGCCCACCAGTGCACCAGCAGTAGATAAAGCACACTCTCGCCTGCAGTCTGCTCTGACGGTCCCTGCATGCCTGGTCTCTCACCGAGGTCGGAGGCTCTTCTTTAAGAGTGGTTCAAATTCACCACATTTTCCAGCTCCAGGCTGTGCCTTGTTCCTTCATCTGGCGGACTTTCACATCTCTTTCTGAATTGAGGATGGGTCACTGTGGAACAGAAAACAGAAGGGAAGCTTATGTGTTCCTACCCTGAGCCCCTAAGCTCTGCTTCCTCCCTCTTGTTTCTCTAAACTGTTAACAATATTTATCATGGTTATTTTATCAGTGTTGCCCCTGATGTGGTATCACTCAGCAGGTAACTGATGTTGTTTCAAGTGCGATGCAAATACAACTGAAAAGGAGAAGCTGCCTAAAAAGTTTAAAATCTAGAAGTGTACAGGCACAAAGCCACAACTGTGAGTTGCAGAGCTGAACGCCCAGCCTGGGACTAGAGCTGATTAAACTGGGAGCTCTCCTAAGACTGGGATTCTCCCGTTCTCCAATTCCTAGGATCATTCTGTGCTTTTACTTTAAAACAGGGGTGATACAACCCTAGCTATCTTGCAGATCTTCAGCACACATTATACAAAGAGCTGACTGAAGCAGCAAGGAGAAGAAATTTCATTTGGCTTTTAGTAGAGAAACAGCTGCATTTTTTCTTTAGACATTTTTACATGCATACAGCAAGTCATATGCACAATAACAGTCATAACAAGCATAGTTTTGTCAAATATTATGGAAGAATTTATTAAAATAGGAATTTTTTTTTAAAGTGCATCTTCTCAAACATTATTTATTCTGTAAACTATTCTAAAATCATACTTCTCATCATTAGCCTATTTGTCAGGAATACGGACAATTAGATCAGAATGCCCTGCTAAAAGCGACACCACAGCAGAGTGGCACAGGATGGGAATCGGGGACTTTCCATTAGGACTGGTCAGGGACATCACATCCTCCTGCGCCGCCAGCCCCTCTTGTTTCGTCTCCCCTCCTCATTCAGATCAGGAGTTCACCTCTGGTGAACAGTCTGAGTAAATGTTTCAACTACATACTTCAATGAACGTCCACCTTAGAACTCTGAAGCTGACTCACGAATGCTCCTGCAGCAACCAAGTCTCGACAGATGACAAAAAAAGACTGCAAACTTCATTTGTGCTGCCAGCAAATACAGTTGTCTCCTACATGGGTGTGGAGTAAAGGGTTTCCGTATGTATAAACTCAGGATGGCAACAGCTGCAGTCCCGATGTGCACCATTAATACTTCAACCCTTTTCTAGGAAGACACTCAGCTGCCTGATTCTGTCACAGGCACTGAGGCAACCCCAAAGCTTTCATGACATACCCCAGCAGCAAAAAAGGCAAAAAGGGCTCTTTAGCAGGAAACAATTAATTTTAAATCATTGCAGCATGAAACCCTCCCCCATCTAATGCTGAAACCACAGGAAAGAGTGGGTTTGGAATACACAAGAGAGCACTGCACTCACGGCGCATGAAGAGGATAAGAGCTGTGTGCTTGGTCCTCTCTCCCAGGTGCCAACACATGCTTAGCCAGGGCTATGGATCCACCAGAACTGGTGCACTGGACAGATTTCTCCATATAATAAATTAGCATAAGGTGAGGTCCAAGGAGCTGGTTTTCTGGCGGAAAGCCAAGGAATTAAAAATCTGGGGGTTTTAAGAAAAATATGCAAGATGAAAGGATAAGCTCAGTAATTTTCCCTTGTTATAACTAAGGCAGGTAGCTACCAAAACCGGTGTCCCTTCCTGGGCAAGAATAATGAATCCTCACTCACGTCCTCTTTAATTTCAGATGTGGCATCTAAAGCCTACCTGAAGCTTCTAGCACCCCCTAAAAAAAAGCTCTCAAAGCTGAATTCAGTATTTCAACAGAACACAGCTCCTCATCCAGCCATCATCAGGAGACCTGGCCTTGCTCCGAGACAAAAGCCAGCCCGGTGGTGAGGGGTGCAGTGTCTGCGAGGCAGGAGCCCTTGGTCCTTACCTTGCGAGGGGCAAAGCAGGGCCCACCAAGTGCTCGTTGCCATAAAACAAACCCAAGGGGACAAAAAAAACCCAAACCAAACAGAAAAACCCGACCCCTTTAGATCTCGGCTGTTCGTTATGAACAAGGGGAGAAGGGCGGCCATGCAAAATCTCCTCAGCCCCCGCCATGTCTCCTGCCACCTGGACCCCACAGCCAGGCTGCCGGCTCTCCCTGCCTCCTCATCCTCCCGCCGCCCCTCACACCCCTCAGCCTGCCCCTCACACCCCTCATCCTCCCGACACCCCTCACACCCTTCATCCTCCCCCTCACACCCCCTCAGCCTCCCGCCGCCCCTCCCTGCCTCCTCATCCTCCCGCCGCCCCTCACACCCCTCAGCCTGCCCCTCACACCCCTCATCCTCCCGACACCCCTCACACCCTTCATCCTCCCCCTCACACCCCCTCAGCCTCCCGCCGCCCCTCCCTGCCTCCTCATCCTCCCGCCGCCCCTCACACCCCTCAGCCTGCCCCTCACACCCCTCATCCTCCCGACACCCCTCACACCCTTCATCCTCCCCCTCACACCCCCTCAGCCTCCCGCCGCCCCTCCCTGCCTCCTCATCCTCCCGCCGCCCCTCACACCCCTCAGCCTGCCCCTCACACCCCTCATCCTCCCGACACCCCTCACACCCTTCATCCTCCCCCTCACACCCCCTCAGCCTCCCGCCGCCCCTCCCTGCCTCCTCATCCTCCCGCCGCCCCTCACACCCCTCAGCCTGCCCCTCACACCCCTCATCCTCCCGACACCCCTCACACCCTTCATCCTCCCCCTCACACCCCCTCAGCCTCCCGCCGCCCCTCCCTGCCTCCTCATCCTCCCGCCGCCCCTCACACCCCTCAGCCTGCCCCTCACACCCCTCATCCTCCCGACACCCCTCACACCCTTCATCCTCCCCCTCACACCCCCTCAGCCTCCCGCCGCCCCTCCCTGCCTCCTCATCCTCCCGCCGCCCCTCACACCCCTCAGCCTGCCCCTCACACCCCTCATCCTCCCGACACCCCTCACACCCTTCATCCTCCCCCTCACACCCCCTCAGCCTCCCGCCGCCCCTCCCTGCCTCCTCATCCTCCCGCCGCCCCTCACACCCCTCAGCCTGCCCCTCACACCCCTCATCCTCCCGACACCCCTCACACCCTTCATCCTCCCCCTCACACCCCCTCAGCCTCCCGCCGCCCCTCCCTGCCTC